CCCCTGAGCCTCCTTTTCTCCAGGCTGAGCCCCCCCAGCTCCCTCAGCTGCTCCATTTAACTTTCCCCACTCCCTCTCCTTGCACAGGAACAGGCTGGGAGGAACTTTGCAAACCAGGACACACAACCCCAGACTGAACATGGAGCGGATTTCAGACGTGCCACATCTGTTCCCATCATCTCCTGGCACCCCACACTCCTGGATCCAAGAGCTGTCTCTGCTCTCACCGTGGAAATTCAGTGCCATGTGTGAGCTGGGTGACTCTCCAGATGTGCAGCACGGCTGCAATTATGCCAAAATGATTACAAGCACTTAAACAAAATGAAGACATTTTTCTCCCTGTTCACTCTGCCCTGCAGAGTTAAAAACTCCATTTACATATGAAAATTCCAGTAAAGACCACGGAGCTGTCAGGTCTTGGATACTTCTTTCCCTCTTCTTCTAAGGTTTTTTTTTTCCCCTTTTTTTCTTTTTTTTTTTTTCCTTTTTTTTCCCCCTGCCTGAAATATAATTAGGGGCTTTGATTAATCCTGCTCTTTTGTCATTTGGAAATTGCTCATTAAAGCTGAGGGCTTTCCTGAGAGCAGTGGCTCTGTGAACAATTAGAATGTGTTTAAGCATTAAATCATGGCCTTTCAGTACTTGGGGAAGGTGTGGAGGGAGAAACAGAGAACAGCAAAGCCCCCAGACCTTGCTTTTGTTTTTCTGCAGTGAAAAATGGGATCAGCTCCAAGGATTCCTTCACCACTGGGGATCCAGGTGAACAGGGAACAAAGGGATGTGAAATGTTTCCACCAGGAACAGCAGCCACGAGGCCACTGGTTTTCCCTCCACCACCAACCTGGCCTGGAATGTTCCCAGGGCTGGGGCAGCCTCAGCTTCTCTGGGCATCCACACCAGCTCACCAGGAGCCCAGCACGCTCCAAAACTCCTCCCAAGTCCATGGATCACCTTTTCCATAAGGACACAGAGCTGATTTTCAAACAGCATCACCCAGTTCTGACTGTTTTCAAGCAGTGCTGGGTGTTGTTAAACAGCCTGCCTTGCAAGGAATTTTACAGCACAGCGTTCCTGTGGGGAGTTTCCACCTTAAATAACCCATAAATAATGCTGAGTGGATGTTTATAAGCTCAGGATGGGCAAAACAGTTCTGGCAAAATAATCACGAATTTCAAATTGGGCTGGGGATGGTTTGTTTTGGGGTTTTTTTTCCATTCCTTTGGAAGGGTGAAAAGTAATCAGCTTTGCTTCATTTGCTTTCCATTTCATGCCTCTTCACTTCTGGCCCATAAGAGAAAGAGGAGTTACTAAAAAGCATGAGGAAATCTCCCACTTTGGAGCTCCCAGCCTGGAAACTCCTTCCTGTGCCCTTCATCCAAACCCCCATGTGCTCCTGAGGTCACCCCTCACCTCTCCAGCACGAGAGGCCAAGCCCAGTTCCACAGAACACCTGGAGCTGTTCTCCCCACACCCCAAACCAGTCCCTGCAGCCCAGAGCAGGCTGGAGGAATCGTTTCTTTCCAGCTCTGCTTCCATCCCCCAGTTTTTGCTCCTTCTCCCTGCTCTGACTCGTCAGATCCCGCTTCTGCAGAGCAGATTTTTACTCCAGCTCGTAACAACTCCCTTCTTCCACCTACTCCAGGCACAAACAAGGGGTGCACCTGCCAAAGCCTCCTTCTTCTTCCCCCTCTCCCCACCAGCAGTGCCAGGTCTGTCACTTCCCAGCTCGTTCCAGAGCTAAAAACACCCGGGGATCTCTCCAACCACCACAGCTGAGGCCACCACTCTGTTTTACTGCCTCCCTCCTTCCTTTGCCTCCTTTGAGGAGCTGGAGCGTGTCCAGAGCTGGGAATGGAGCTGGGGAAGGGGCTGGAGCACCAAGAGCACAAGGAGCTGGGGGGGCTCAGCCTGGAGAAGAGGAGGCTCAAGGGGGATCTCATGCTGGAGGAGTTTTAAGGTCCCTCTCAGCCCAAACCACTCTGTCAGTCTGTGAAGTGGCATCTTCTGCTCACCAGAGACAGAACTATTTGATTTCAGTGTGGAGCAAGAAATATTATACACAATACAGCCTGGACAGTAAAGGAATGTTTTCTGGGAATCTCCCTTGATTTTCTTGAAAGAAAAAAAAGTAAAGACTTTCTTCTCTCTTCACGAAAGTCCCACAAAAAAGCAGCCACTCGTGACAGATCCCACAGCCCTTTTCTGCTGCTGTCTTAGCTGTGTTCATGTTACCTATGCACCCTGGCTCTTTCTCCAGCCTCCAGAATTCCCCATTTTCCCTACATGCCTCTTAAATGTGTTTTGGTCGTGGCAGAACCTCGGGATGACTCCCAGAGAGAGGCTCCCACAGCGCCTCGAGCCTCTCCCACTCGGTCCAGCTTTGCTTTAACCTGATTAGAGCACAGGGAAGGTGCCAGTGTTTGCTGAGTGAGCCAGGCCAGGCGTGCCCAGGCGTGCCCAGGCGTGCCCAGGTGTGCCCAGGTGTGCCCAGGTGTGCCCAGGTGCCCACCCTCACCTGTGTACTCGATGACAAAGCCGGTGTTGCTGACGGAGGCGTCGCTGCGGAACGCCAGGAACAGGCTGTTGCTGCTGCTCTCGATCCTCTCGGGGAGCTGGGAGCCATAAAAGCTCCCAATCAGGGGGCTCAGGGAGTCAGGGCCATCGTAGATGTGAAGGAAATCATAGCCAGGCTCCAGGCTGAAGCTGCAAAACCAAAGGAGTGCTTGGAGCAGGAGAACTCCTGATGGGCTGGACATTCCTGACTCCATCCCACAGATGCAGGTGCTGCACCACAGTTAAATTTAAATAAGCCCTCTCAGCAAGGTATTTCAGAATTAAAACTACTCAGCGTGTTTCCTCCCAGGGTTTTTTTTGTGACCAAAACAATATTTGGCAGAATTATGTTCTGTTAAAGCAGCTGATCTGAGGGGATGCTTCTGGCACACAAACACTGTGCAAAAACTGTGCATGTCAAAGAGGAGCTGCAGCTGAGATATGATGTTAATCTGATGTTCCCAGATTAATGCCTGGGATATAATATCCTGGTTGCCCAGGATATGGGACCATCCCACCAGGTTTGGTTTGGCTCCTTCACAGTGATTTGCAGTCCCTGGTGCCCCCTCCCTGTGCCCAGGGACAGCCCCAGAGGGTGTCCAACCCCTTGGGTACTCACATGTTGAACACCAGGGCAATGACATAGTCTGGAGACACCGTGAGCTTCCAGTCACACTCCTTGCCAGGGGGGTAGGGCTCGGGGTACTGGGGGGACAGGATCACCCCTGAGGGGCCCGTCAGGATCCCTCCACAGGGAGCTGCAAACACAAAGAACAGGCAAAGGGGGCAGGGGTTGTGTCACAGAGACTGAAAAACCAGCAGGTGAGGTGCAGGGAAGGCAAAGCAGGGAGCTGTGGGTAGGTGAGGTGTCAGGGAGGCAGCTGACACTGAGATATCCTGGAATATCCTGAGCTGGAAGGGACCCACGGGAGTGTTGGAGTCCCAGTCCTGTGTTACAGGAGGTTGTGGTGGCTCTCCCAGAGGTCATCCCAGAGGTGACACACACACAGAGAGAGCCAGGGATGCCACCACAACCCTCCTGAGATCTGTAAGTGAGCAACCAGAGGGACAGAGAGTTATTTTATGCTTTTCTGTTGCATTCCTTCAGGCAGCTCCCAGCCCCAGTCTGTTGCTAACCAAGTGCAAACATGTTGTCTGGGCCTGATGGCTCATTCGTGTTTATTCCAGTTACCAACACATTAAATGGCAAGCTGATTGAAAAATCAATTATTACTTTTTTAAGGCTGGAAGTGCCTGCTTGTGTTTCCACCGTGGCAAACAGGAGTGATTTTCTGCTGTCAGCCTTTCTGCAGCCTCCTCAGGAGGGTCGATGCTCTGAGATTCCCCTGGTGCTCAGATCAATCCTCCCAGATTTGGGATGGGGGGAGAGGGAGGGGAGGACAGTCTGTGTTAAACTCGGGGGTCTGACACCAGCCTAAGGCAACAAAGGGGTGGGAAATGAGCTGGGATGGGGCAAAAGTGGTTGAACAAATCCAGGGAGGGATGTTCCACGAAGGAGTGAGCACGTGTGGGCTTTGGTATTTTTCTATTTTTATCCTGTGGGCTTTCCTAAAGCCTGTAAACACACAAGAATCTCCAGACATAGGGTAAAACACAGTGGGGCTGGTCTAAAAAGGTCACAGTGGAGATTAAACCAGAGACTTTCCCCCAAGGCCCCAAGTCCAGCCACAGGAGGGCTGTTATCCCTCTGGGATAGACAAGGAAATCACAGCACAGACACGAAAGAATTTGGTTGAGGGTCACCCACAAACACCTTGGAAGAACCACAAGCACCTGTTCTGTGTCCATTCACCTTCATCTGAACCCCAAGGGTGCTTTCCCCTTCCACTCAGGGGAAAATCCAGAAGAAACCAAAGTGTGAGGACTCAGTGTTTGAAAAGCCCGAGGGAGACGATTCCTTTGAAAATCCCACCCCCTGCTCTCCAAAGGATTTAAAGCAGCAAATGATCTCAGCCACTGCTGTTTGGAGCTGGCCAGGATACAAACTTCAAATACCCCAAAGCTCCTGGGGCTGTCTCTCAGCCGAGGTTCCTGCTCAGCCCACGTCGTTCGTTCAGGGACCGAGGAAGTCGTGCAAAGATGTGAAAATCCATTTGAAATGCTAAATATGTAAAATCCAAGCTTTCAATTTAACACCCTTCCCCAGCTCAAGCTCCAACCAGGCAGCCTGTCCCCCCCAGTTCCTGTGAAACTGCTATTTGGCCACTGATTGTTCCTCCAAACCCTTTGTCAGTGGAGAAGGGAAGGAGCAGGATGTTGTTTGCAGCTTCTTCAGGGAGTTTATGACTCCAGGTCAAACAGGAGGTGACCTGTGGGAACTCATCTCACTCCAAGATAAAGGCACTGGCTGCTTTTCTCTGCAAAGGACTCAGAGTTCAGCTCCTGGTGGGAAAACTCCACGGGAAAATGAAGAGATGGGCACGACATCCAACACCATGATTTAGTTACAGCCCTGGGAAGATTAAAAGAACTGTCTCTGGGAGGCTGAGGAGGTGCCACACTCAATCCAGAGTCATTCAGAACCCAAGTCCTCCTGCAGCACAGACCCTGGGCATGAAGTGTGATGTTAGAAAGTGAATTAATTGGTTTTTCTTGCTTGGGGTAACAGTGCCCAAGCAGCAATGAAGATTACAGGTAAAGTCATTTGTGGTTGGCATTTAATTGGCCAGCAAATTTGGTGTTTATTGCTCTGGAGTGCTTGGCATGACTGGGTTTTGGATGTGTTAAAAAGAATCCCTTTTAGGAGCTTCTTTTATTCCTTTATGAGCCCAAAGAAAATGTCAGAAAGCCCTTTCTCGTGGCAGAGTTTGCTGTCTCCTCATGCAGAAATGATTCACCCACGGCCCCAATCCTCTCCACCAACCTGAGTTTTAAAGGAGCCTCTAATTTGGCCTTGTCAGGTTAAATATCAAACCTTCCACTGCACCGTGTCCTGGGAGCTCCCAGCATGAACTAGATCCTCCTTGTCCCAGACACTCCAGGGATCAACCCAAAACAGTTCTGTGGGACAGGCACACCTGGAAATGCACCTCTTGGGACCAGGTGGGACCTCCAGGTCCAGGAGCCTGGGAAGGGGAAGGGGCAGGGAGGTCGGTGGGGGGTGGCTGAGTGTCCTTACCTGTGCAGGAGGGAGGGTCTGGCTGCCAGAAAAACCTGTTCTCCACCTGCACACAGGTGATTTGGGCCTCCCCTTGCAGGGCATAGCCCGGGTTGCACTGGAAGGTGATGGAATCTCCTGCCTCCTTGCTGTCCCCGCTCCGGCTCCCGTTCTGGGGAATTCCCGGGTCGTTGCAGGACGTGGCAGTGGAAACTGAGGAGTAAATCAATATATATTACACACCTTTATCTGCTGCAAGGCTTAGAGCACATAAATATATCTCTATTTATTTCCTACAGCAGCTGGACCCAGTCTCTGCCCTCACACACACACCCAAGCCATGACTTGTCCTCCATCCCTCCTCCTCCTCCTCCTCCTCCTCCTCCTCCTCCAGTATCCCACAGAGTTTCCCCACACGCAAAAACTGGCTTTTCCTTTGCTCTGAGCATCTGCCACTGTAGCTGGAAGAGGCTCTGGGGAGCAGCAAGTTCTGCACCGCACAGAGGGCAGGTTTGCTGTTCTCTCAGTGATCCACACACCCACTGATCTCCCGTGGCAGTTCTGTAGGATTCTGTGTCAGGCACGGGCTGCAAAAGCAACTCATCCACCAGCACTTCTCACTTCCCCTGAGTGGTGAGGAAATGCAGCCTCAAAACCTGTGAAGCATCAAGCCTGACCTTTCAGGAAGGCACGTGCTTCCCTCCCAGACTTGCTGCTGCATCTCTTTGAGGTCTGAGATGTCCCCCCTGGGCTCCTTCCCAGCTGGGGACAGGCAGCACAACTTCACTGCTCCCTGAGCTCAGCACCTCAGCTGCTGCCCAGCAGGGCAAAGTCCTGGAGTAAAGAAGTTTTGCAAGCTTCTATACCTCATTAAAGTTCATAAGATCCCAAAAACTGTTCACTCCTGGGCTTAGGGCTGGCTACTTAGTCACACCTGGTGAACAAAGGCTTTGAGCAGGAGCGGTCAATAAAGCCCAGCTCCAGATCAGGCAGCAGAGCAGAGCTTATTTCCTGCTAAGTTGATGAGAGTCCATTACACCCAGGCAGTTTAGAGAAAGCTGCTCTCAAAAGAGCCAGAGGAAATCCCCTCTCTTTCTGTGCAGCTGAAGATAAGCAAGTTCACAGCCCAGGCTGGTCCTGCCCAGCAGGATGAGACACAAGCCTGGCAAAATAAAAAAAAAAGGGGATGGCCCAGCTGTGCTGGGTGACACAGAGCTCTCCCTCTGCTTTGGTCATCCCAGAAGGCCTAAAATCCAGGAGAAATTCTCCCCAAATTGCTGTCTGGCTCCCCCAGCCATGCAAGGCAGACTGGACAGAAATCTATGGAGAAAAACTTGGGAGAGGCAGGATAATGCTTGGATGTGCCTGAGTGCCAGGAAGGTCAGACCATCAGTCACCAAACCCACCTCCCTGTTTAATACCAGCTCCAAAATCAGCACCTGCAGGTTGGTTACTGGACAAGGTACAATGTGGAACCCCCTGTGAAGGCTGGAATGTGTCACCCCAATATAATTGGAATTAATGTGTTTGCAGGGCTGAGCTCAGGCAGAGCCAGACTGCAGCACCCCCCCCAGCCAACAGAGCTGTTGGTGACCTGCCTCTCATCTCAGGGGAGCCAATTTGGGGGCTTTTAACCAGGCTTGGTTTTCAGAGCCCACTGCCCAGCAGCTCTCAGAGCAGCAGGGGTGGCAGCCAGAGCTCTGGGGCAACGGGGTGGAAAAGAGCTGTAATTCCTTCTTGTGTCTTCCACCCCTGCCAAGTCAGCACTGTGGAGGTGACTGGAGCAGGGGGGAGCAAGGCATCACCTGCCAGGACAAAATACTGCAGTTTGAACTCGATTTGCAGAGTCTGCACTCCACTGGCAAAGCTGGAGGACACACAGTGCCTGTCACTGCTCACTGCAATGTCACCCCCAGCACGACTCTGGGGGGACCTGAAACCTCTGCTCAGCAAAGCTGGGGCTGGATATGATGAGGGAATCACAGAATCCCAGAATAGGCTGAGCTGGGAGGGACCCCCAAGGAGCATCCAGTCCAACCCTCAGCCCTGCACAGGCCCATTTCTCCTCCTGCCAGCCCAGAGCTTCACTCCCTGCCAGTGCTGATCAAGGTGCAGGAGGCTGGGTGGCTCAGACATGGGGATTTCCAGCCCTCCACAACCTCCCTCTGTACCAGGGGGGCTTCTCCAGCTCAGAGCCTCTCAGGTGCCCCCTCACAGGGTAAAAGGGCTGGAGGATGATCACAGAAGCACAGAA